CGACGGTGCGTCTTCCAGACACGGCAGCGGAATCGGAGTACAGCTCTTATCTCCGACAAACGAAGTAATCGAGCAATCAATCTGGTTGGCTTTCGATGCTTTAAATAACGAGGCTGGGTATGAGTCCCTGATTGCCAGACTGCGATTAGCTGTTGGAGTCTGAGTTCGACGGTTGCGCGCTGTCTGCGATTCGCAACTCGTAACGAATCAGTTCTCAAGAGTGTACAAGGCTAAGGATAGCCGCATGGGCGCCTATCTGAGCTTAGCAAGGGAGTTATCCGAAGGGTTCGAATCTTTTGAGTTACTTGCTAGCGTTCGAGGATGTTCGAGGACTCGCTGGCATCCTTGGCCTCCACGTCGGACCCGGTGTTCACAAGAGTTATTCTAGTCAAAGTCCTTGAACGTCCTAGTGTTATTTTGACCGATGTAAATGTCCTGACAAGGTCCATGCAACGCCGGATCGATCGAGGTGAAGAGTTACCCGTGAATCTTTTGCCGCATCAAAACGCCAAGTCAGGAAGGAAGGTGTTGAGTTTGGAAGCGCAGCTCAAACCGTCAGGAGGCGCGGGGAGTCAAGGTGTCAGTCGAGATCTAAACATCGAACTGCCTGAGGAGAACGAAGAGTTTCTGCGGGATTCCCTAACCTTTATCGAAGAACGGCGCGATCAAGCGTTAGTTCGCCTACATCAGTATCAAAGTTCAATAGCGAAATACTACAACTCGAAAGTCAGAGCCCGCGAGCTCAACATAGGCGATCTTGTCCTCCGAAAAGTTTATGAAAATACGAAGGAGCTCAACGCGGGCAAGCTAGGCATCAATTGGGAAGGCCCTTATAGAATTACTGCCGAAGTTTGCAATTGTGTTTACTGATTGGAGGAGATGTCAGGAAAGCCAATCCCCAGATCGTGGAATACCATGCACTTAAAGCGTTTTTATACTATTTAAGTCCTGTAAAACGAACAACCATTCGCTTGATCCCGTTTGCGGGTACCTAGGCAGCCCAATTTAAAGGGTCCAGCTCGTCATAATAAAAGTTCTTTCTAATCTTTAGCTTTAAAGTAGGATGGCTCGAAGTAAGAAGCTTAAGTCCGAAATCTCAAAAAAATATATATCAAGATCCAAGCAATAGCAAAGTAGTCAAAAAAACTTGAAACACAATACGGGTACGACCACCAAGGTCAAACATACCCAAGTACAAAGCATAATAAAGGGTGCAACCACCGAGGTCAAAAACACCCGAACTTAAGTCTTAAAATTAAAAAAAAAACAAAAGGGGGGTCCTCGGACCATAAACAACCCCGGAGTAAGTTCAGTTAACCTCAGGATCCGTAGGAGGGTCTCGAGCATCGGTCTCTTGAGTAGCACGCTTCTCACCAGTCCTGAGACCAAGAGGATCCGCCAGTTCCGACTGGCTAGCTTCGACCTCCTGGGCCGGTAGAGTTGGAGTGTCAGCTACAGGTTCTTCAATCATATGCAGGGCAGAGCTAGAACCCAACTCTAGGTCGGAGAGAGTATCGGCCAAAGAGCAGAGAAGGATGTGGGGTCAAACTTTAGATCTTACACCTTTTTGGCTTTGAGAAGGGCGACCTGCTCGTCAGCCTGCAGAGTCTTAAGCTCGGCCTTCAGATCAGCTATTTCCCCTACTTCAATCTCTTCTACTAGCATCCTATTGGCTATAATCTCGGCAGCTCGCAACGCGTCAGGCAGCAGATGGTTGTGTTCTTCCAAGAAGGATCCTATCATGTTGATCGTATCTCACATGTAAGCCTTTTCTTCCTCTGTTCTTCCCTACGAACCCTTTCCATTTCTGAGCTGTTGCCAGCCTCCAGCAACTGGTTCCTAAGTTTGATCTCCTAGAGTTCTGTCTTACCTTCCTTCTCCGCCTCGGTAGCCTTGAAGTATAGCTCTCCAGCCCTCAGCAGCTTGTCCCGCGAATCCTCTAGAGATGCCTATCGTGCTGTTGGCGAACAGCTGTTCCTCGTAATGAGCCACCGTGATGTTGAACTCAAACAACATCTATAGAAACGGAGAGCAGAAAACGTTATAAAATGATATTAATTACAATAATGGTTACTTTGGAAGCTGGCATCGTTACCTCGCCCATTTTATCGGCGAAACGGAAGTAGTTTTCACGGTTGGACACATTCATGTTCTTGAAGGCCACGACTCGAGCTCCTAGTCAGCTGAAGTTGCGCATCATGTCCGCTAATGAAAATGGGGGAGCTAAAAATTAGTATCAACTAAAATTGTTAGTTCGAGCTTCCATAAGCAAGGTGTAAAAGATGATTCCCAAGTCAGTATGATTACCTGGGAGTTCGCGCCTCCGGGGTCTTTTGGGGTCACTGGAGCTCGGGTTCGCTAGCTTGGGTCCCTTTACCGCATGAGTTTCTACGGATCTCTCCTCTTCACCCGCCATACGGGCCTTGGAACTCACACGAGCTGAGGGCGCGGGATCTACGGCTTTCTGTTTTTTGGAACCGCTGGCTTTATCCTCATCACGAGTAGTACGGACAGTTGGGGACTCCACGCTAACATCGCTATCAGGCACGGTTATGACCTCGCGATTTTTAGCGCTTGGGGGAGCAGTTGAGGGAGCAGTCAAGCTGGAGGACTTTTCCTTGGACAAGACCTTGGCCTTTCCGTCAGCCAGAGCGGCATCCATCCTTTTCTTCAACTCTTTCTCCTGGAGTTCCATCTTTTTCTTGTTAACTCGCTCCCCGCGGTAATTCATATTCGGAGGAATTGGCTGAGGGGATGATGTTGTGAGAAATTGAGTATGAGTATTGGCACCGGCCTCTCGGATCCTGGGCAGCTTAAGGAGTCCTACGCGATCTGGGCGCTACAGAATGTGATGAAGTGGTCCACCAACGTGCTGGACAGAGACCCACAGTCGAGAGCAGCTGAAAAGGATAAGAAATAACCAGTTTGTAATAGCCGGGGTGCGAAGCAAAGTACGATATCTAGTCTCCTCACAACTCTACCAATTTTTGGAGACCAGTGCGGGATAAACAGATCTTGCAGGTCGCCGAAGGTGTCCTTGTTCATCGGAAAGAAAAAGTAGCCACTTCGCCATTGGTCGTGTTTTTCGGGCAAGTCATCAAAAACCCGAAGTCCGGTCAGCTGATTGAGATAAAAGGTTCCCCTAGTTCGACCACTTTTTATGGTGTAGAGGTGAAGAATATCTTGGAAGGTGAGCTGGTAGTTGTGCTCCGCGGCCAGCGTCTGCAAATAGAGAAGTGTCCGAACAAAATTCAGGCAGAGCTGGGGGAGGGAGAAGCCTAGGGCGTACATCGCTTTCACCAGAAGCTTTAGTAACGGAAAATACTGCCCGCTTTTTGAGAAGAAGATCTCATATGCGCAGCAAAACCCATGCGACGGATCTTTGGGGATAATTCAGGTCCCAGGCCCTGAAGCTCTGTCTCTGAGGTGAGACTGCAGAGGAATCGCACGCCCACCATGTCGTCAGGAGTAATGGACGAAGGAGGATGAGGGCCAAATTCTCCCGGAATGAGTGCTTCAGCTGACTTGGGGGTTAACTTAGGCGGCGACATCTTGGAATTTATGTTTCAGTGACGGTTGAGAAGAAACTGTTGCGGCTAAAATGGTTCCTGTGGAAAAGGCCGGCGAAGAAGCAAGATAGAAAAGGGGATGAAAGGAAAAATACTAAAACGAAAATATGAAATAATAAGGAGAGAAGGGGTGCTCTACCTTTTATAATATCCTCGGCGGTTGCAACGCAATGATGTCCTATAGAAGCTAAAAGGTCGCGACCTTTATAGCCTCTAGCCTAGGGGTTCTAAAGCGGCAAATGCAGAGAAAGATGAACCAAAAAGACAACCCGAACCGAGACAACTCGATTCGGTCAAACTACAACAATCACTTTACGGATTATAGCAGTCCGGACATATGTGGTATAATCGCTTGTGTGAAGACTTGTGAAGTAAAAAATACATCAACAATGCGATATGCCCTTGTGTGTTTATTAAGAAGTTTTTTTTAGGATTAGTGATCATTGTTGTATATGTTGATGACCTGACCACAATTAGAACTCAAAAAGAGATTGATGATACAAAAACTCATATGAAAGAAACGAAGTTAGTTAAATATCAATACATCCATTCAAGTCACTTCCCACCACGACATTCAAGAAATATATTCAAAGTATCGGAATGCATCGTGTATGAGACGTATAAAGATAGACGATATATATTTTCTAGGGGAGCGTTACTGCGCTCCTTTTCCCTCAACATGTTTTTTTATCCCAAACGGGGTTTTTCATGATAACGAGGCAGTATACTGCATAGATACAGTAATGATTAATCAAGGGGGAGTGTTATGAAACATGTTTTAAACATGTGATTAATGTATCACTTAATCACTAAGGAAACATCTCCCTTAGACATATATCTCCCTTAGACATACATCCCCCTTTGTCATACATCCCCATTGGACAATCTTGTAGCACTATAAATTACTTTTTAATAAGTGAAGCAAATAAATATATTGTAACCTCAATTATATTAACTTATATTATAATTAATTAATTTGCATCAACTATTTAAAACTGATTTATTTTTTATTAGATTGTATCAATTTTACTAAATTGATATAAAATATATATTTGCATCATTTAGATAATTGATGTATGTATTGTTTTCTGATAAATTAGATAAACGATACAACACTAATATCAATTAAAGGGTCCAGCTCGTCATAATAAAAGTTCTTTCTAATCTTTAGCTTTTAAGTAGGATGGCTTGAAATAAAAAGCTTATGTCCGAAATCTCCAAAAAAATATATATCAAGATCCAAGCAATAGCAAAGTAGTCAAAAAAACTTGAAACACAATACGGGTACGACCACCAAGGTCAAACATACCCAAGTACAAAGCATAATAAAGGGTGCAACCACCGAGGTCAAAAACACCCGAACTTAAGTCTTAAATTTTATTAAAAAAAACAAAAGGGGGTCCTCGGACCATAAACAACCCCGGAGTAAGTTCAGTTAACCTCAGGATCCATAGGAGGGTCTCGAGCATCGGTCTCTTGAGTAGCACACTTATCACCAGTCCCAAGAGCAAGAGGATCCGCCAGCTCTGACTGGCCAGCTTCGAACTCCTGGGCCAGCAGAGTTGGAGGGTCAGCTACAGGTTCCTCAATCATAAGCAGGGCATAGCTAGAACCCAACTCTAGGTCGGGGGGAGTATCGTCCAAAAGAGCAGAGAAGGACGCGGGGTCAAACTTTAGATCTTTTACATTTTTGGCTTTGAGAAGGGCGACTTGCTCGTCAGCCTACAGAGTCTCAAGCTCGACCTTCAGAACAACAATTTCCCCTGCTTCAATCTCTTCTATTAGCATCCTATTGGCTATAATCTCGGCAGCTCGCAGCGCGTCAGGCAACAGACGGTTGTGTTTTTCCAAGAAGGATCCTATCATGTCGATCATATCTCACATGTCAGCCCTTGTCTTCCTCCGTTCTTCCCTACGAACCCTTTCCATTTCCGAGCTGTTGCCAGCCTCCAGCAACTGGTTCCTGAGCTTAATCTCCTAGATTTTTGTCTTACCTTCCTTCTCCGCTTCGATAGCCTTGAAGTATAGCTCTCCAGCCTCAGCAGCTTGTCCCGCGAATCCTCTAGAGATGCCCCTGCTGTCGCCAGCTCTATCTCGGCAGCCTTCAAGCCCTTGTTGAACTTCTGCGCCTTTTCTACTCTAGCCCGATTGGAGGATACAGCTAAGGAGTCCCACGCGATCTGGCTGCGACATAATGTGATGAAGTGGTCCACCAATGTGCTGGACAGAGACCCACGGTCGAGAGCAGCTGAAAAGGAGAAGAAATAACCAGTTTGTAACAGCCGGGGTGCGAAGAAAAGTACGATATCTAGTCTCCTCGCAGCTCTACCAATTTTTGGAGACCAGTGCGGGATAAACAGATCCTGCAGGTCGCCGAAGGTGTCCTTGTTCACCGGAAAGAAAAAGTAGCCACTTCGCCAATGGTCATCTTTTTCGGGCAAGTCATCAAAAAGCCGAAGTCCGGACAGCGGATTGAGGTAAAAGGTTCCCATAGTTCGACCACTTTTTATGGTGTAGAGGTGAAGAATATCCTGGAAGGTGAGTAGGTAGTTGTGCTCCGCGGCCAGCGTCTGCAAACAAAGAACTGTCCGAACAAAATTCGGGCAGAGCTGGGGGAGGGAGAAGCCTAGGGCGTACATCGCTTTCACCAGAAGCTCCGGTAACGGAAGATCTCATATGCGCAGCATTACCCGTGCGGCGGATCTTTGGGGATAATTCAGGTCCCGGGCCCAGAAGCTCCGTCTCCGAGGAGAGACCGTAGAGGAATCGCACGCCTGCCATGTCGTCAAGAGTAATGGACGAAGGAGGATGAGGGAAATATTCTCCCAGAATGAGAGCTTCGGCTGACTTGGGGGTTAACTTAGGCGGCGACATCTTGGAATTTAGGTTTCGGTGATGGTTGAGAAGAAAGTGTAGCGGCTAAGACGGTTCCGGTGGAAAAGGCAGGCGAAGAAGCAAGAGAGAAAAGGGGATGAAAGGAAAAATACTAAAACGAAAATATGAAATAATAAGGAGAGAAGGGGTGCTCTACCTTTTATAATATCCTCGGCGGTTGCAACGCAATGATGTCCTATAGAAGCTAAAAGGTCGCGACCTTTATAGCCTCTAGCCTAGGGGTTCTAAAGCGGCAAATGCAGAGAAAGATGAACCGAAAAGGCAACCCCAAACCAAGGCAAATCAATCAGTCGATTCGGGATCACGGTTCCCAAAATCGGAAGTTGCATTAAAATCTCCCGAACTTAGCCACTTCGTAAGACTTGGGGGGGCAAACTGTGGGCACCGGAATCAGCATTACGGGCTATTGGGTCGATCTCGGTTTAAGCCCATGACGCAAGGCCCATTAGAAGCCCAGCGAGCCCAACAAGGAAAGAACAAGGCCGAGCTGGAGGAATAAATGCGTAAGCGTAGCGTTAATGAAGATCGTGTGATTCACGGAGTGGAGTTCGCGATCTCTCTGATTGAACCATTGGTTCATTGTATAAATAGGGGAAGAGACACTTGTAAAAGGGGCTCGAATAAAATCCAATAAAATTATACCTTCTCTACGCTTACTTAGCAATCTGATTTCGGTACGAATTCTAGACAGGGAACAAGAGCTCACCTAATTACTTAGTTCTCTCTTAGGTGGATTATCACTCCCACACCACACTCTTATACGCCTGAATTCAAAAGCATTCACCAGTTTATGTGAAGTTCTTGAAAACAAATATGTATTACAAGAATCAAAGAACATCAAGATTGATGAAAGTGTCGCAATTTTTTTTTATTCTTTGTGCCCAAAATGACAGCCAACATGTGATTGTTTTAAGATTTGGCTGCTCAAGAGACTATATATAGAAAGTTCCATCTTGTTTTGGATGCAATAGTGAAGCTAGCGCTAGACTATTTACGGCCAAGAACAACAAGTGAGCTTGAAGCAATATCTAAAAGTTTAGAAGGAGATAAGAGATATTAGCCTTATTTTAATGGATGTATCGGAAAACTTGATGGAACACATATACCAATTATGGTAACTCCAGGTCAAGAGGCACTACGATTTGTGAATCGGAAAGGAAGACCAAGTCTTAATGTTTTGGATATGTGTGATCTAGATATGCTTTTCACATATTGTTGGAATGGCAAGATCTACTCATGATTCAAGAGTGTTGGCAAAAACTATATGAGAAGATCAAATGCTTACAAACCTCCTTATGGTAAATATTATCTTGTAGATTCTGGATATGCTAATAAACGAGGTTATTTAGATCCATATAGAAAAGAAAGAACAGAAAGTACACGATATCATCTACAAGAATTTTTAAATGGTGAGCCTCCCAAAAATAGTAGGGAAATGTTTAACCGGTGGCATGCATCTTTACGTTCTGTTATTGAACATACATTCGGTATCTGGAAGAAGAAATGGAGAGTTTTAAATGAATTTTCAAGCTATGATATACCTACAGAGAAAACTTATATTCGCGACAATGAGGCTACACAAGATTTTGAAGAAGTTGAAAGAGAGACTGATGTTAATCATATGCATCAAAATGAAAAAAGTGATGAAGATGATGTAGTGGATGAAAAACCGACTGAAGGCTCCTATATGAAAATTGTTCAAGATCAAATTGCTGAGCAAATATGGTCATGAAAGAGACGTGGTTCTCAACGTTTATAGTTACTTGTTTTAATTATTATCATAATATTTTTTATGTTGAGTGTTCATCGAACATGAATGCTTGTTTTTTATTTTTAATAATTATTTTTTTTTTTTAATTTGTTTTAATACTTGTTCTGTTTTTTGGTTACCATTTATCATATCATTTGTTCTATTTTTTCTCTACGTCCATTCCTTTTTTGTTTCTTTAGTTCCTTTTTTTCTTGTTCCTCTTCGTTTTTTTTATTCCTCAATAGGTTACCAGTAGGAGCCTAAATGTATAATTCTTATTATATGAAGTTGAGTTTTCAAAGTTAGTCATTAACAAAATCGTGATACGCGTTAACTGAATTGATAAGATGTTGACATGTGTCATAAAATTAGTGGTAAGAAAGTATATAAATTAGTTTTCAAAAAAGAATAATTTTAAAATAGAAAAAATGAAAATAAAATTCAGGATATTTAACAATTACTTAGTAGTAGTAATCCTAAAGGAAAAGAAGACAGTAATTTTTAAATAAATTTATTAATAAAAAATTATAAAAATTAGGTCTAAAGAAAAAAAAAAGAGAGAAATGTCCTTGGATACCACAATTTAAGTTTTTTTTTTCCAAAAATACCATAGACATAAAAAGTTGAATTTTGAAGATGTTGTTATGAAACATGTTTCAAACATGTGATTAATGCATTACTTAATCACTAAGGAAACATCTCCTTTGGACATACATCCCCTTGTACATACATATCCCTTAGAAAATCTTATAGACTACTCACTAAGCTATGTAGCACTATAAATAGATGAACATAGTTACTCTTTGTGTAAGCTTATGTGATAGATAATAAGATGAGATCTTCTCCATTTTCTCTAGTTCTAATTCTCAATTATATATGTCGAAGTGATAAAGTGAAATTCCATGATGTTCACTCTCGAAACGAGTTTTACTAAATTATTCACAGTGCATATCCAAAAGATTGCAAAAAGATTCATGGGTGATTAAATCTACATGTTTTGACATGGAACATAATAGTTTTGCATGTAGTAATGAGTATACATTAGGCCAAAAATTTGTAAGAATTTTCTCCTATGTTACGTATTTATGGTTGGAGAAAAAATAATTCTCGTTTGAAATTTGATGGGTGTGTGATGTATGTTGTAAATTGCTATTGTACACCATATAAACGATTTCATCCAAGAAGGATAAAATATATAGAGGCGACAGATGATTCTCCATTCTAATAATATTAAGCCATCTTATGAGAGATGTGCCTATTAAAAGATTTGCATATTATCATATTGATGATAAAGTTCCCTATTATAATGGGAAAATTATGAATACGAACTTAGAAGATCCCTATTAAAAGATCACTATTCAAAATAGAATGCAAATCAAATCCTAAAAGCTAATGGATTAGATTTAATAATAAAAGAAGTGATCCTCACATATGAACTTGAAGTTTAAAGAAACCTCATATCTCAGCTGAAAAATGCTCTAAAAAAATATGTCTCTGAAGAATGACATACTAAGTCTATGACATGTAAGAAACGTGATAGGCTACTTTGGTTCCTTAGAAAAATATACTACAAGAAAACATTATGATTTCCTACTCACTTTTCTTCCAACAGAATTGGTAGGAAAGTTTTCCTACCAAAAACATACATATTTTTGACAAAAACAATAAAGTTTAGGAAAAAGGTAAAATATTTACTACAAAACACTACGTTAGAAAGTCGTAGGAAATTTTTCTTCCAAATACCCTTAAAAATTAGATCGGTAAGAGAAGTCGTAGGAAAAGTACAGGAATATGGAAGAAAAAGACGCAGAGGATATTTGGTAGGAAATCTGAAAAAATGTTGAAGGAAATATTTTTGTAGGAAAGTAGAAGAAAATATTATTTGTCAAAGATGTTTGCATAATTCTATTGTTAAATTTCATGATTTATAAATCCCACAGAGTACATAGCAATAATATTTACAAGTATATATAATCGATGGGAGTAATTTGTTAAGTTGTTTGCTCTTTAGAATTGTTCTCTCTTCATATTTACAAGTACTTGCTCTATTCATTCTCCAATTTATTTCTTTGTTCGATTTATTATAACTGTTTTTATTGTTGCGAGGGTTATATTTCAGATTCCCAATTGATTTATTTGTTTGATTTTTTATTTCATCTGTTGTTAAATTTTTTTTATGTTACACTTTGATTTTACATTTATGTTTATGTTACACTTTCATTTTACATTTATGTTTATGTTACACTTTGATTTTACATTTATGTTTCTATATATCAGTTTATGTTATTTTCATAGTCTTAAATATTTTTTTGTCAACTTAAAAATTTATAATCGATTTAAAAGTGAATTATGTAATAAATCGTTGCAATAAAATATTTCGTATTTCCTACCATAAATATTTGAACGAATGTTGGAAGGTCATCTTTTGAAGGAAAGCTGAAGGAAAATTTGTAGGAAGCTGGAGTGAAAGTATTCGTAGGAAATTAGAATGAAACAAGTTTTCATAGGAAAAAGGAGGTAATAAATTTGGTAGGAATTTAGAAGGAAACCATTTCCTACGTAATATTGGTAGGAAAACAGTCAGAAATACCCTTCCATCAAATATCTTACCATCTACGATTTCCTACCATGTGAATCGTAGGAAAATCGTAAGAAACTGTTGTTTCCTACCATTTTTTCACGCAAATCGCCGTACGAAATCGCTGTTTTTCTTGTAGTGTATATATATATATATATATATATATTCTTCAAAAAGAAAAAGAGCAAATTATTACTGCAAAGAGATTGAACTCTTAAGAGAGGAGCAAATAAATTCTAAAGAGGAACAGAGAAAATGGGCTCCCAAAAAGGAGCAATGAACTCCTAGAGAGGAGCATATAAAATCCTAAAAAGGATCAAAGATACTATTTAAGAGAAGTAGAGAAACCAATTGATATGGTCAATAATGAAATCATGTATATGAATAAAATCATATACATGAATAAAATCATTAAGAGATTAACCATATCACTACAGGAATTATAGAACCAAAGACATCATAAATGTCGACAAGAAGAAAAAAGTTTTAGCGCGCAATATGATTAATGAGGATCATGAATCTCTGTTTTGTGAGCGTATAGATATATATATATATATATATATATATATATATATATATATTGACCAATATTTGCAGCTTGCCACTTTGATGAAAGTGAATTCCCGTGTTAGAGGAAGGATTGAGAGAATC